TTATTTTGACCTCTAGTAGCTCAGTGTTCTCTCTTCTACCATTTTCCTTTTTACCAACCTCTCCAAATGGAGCACCCTCTTTCACATGTATTTAAGCGCCCACTGTCGATGCAATAAAGTATAATAGGTTAGAGTTCAGGCCCTGAATCTAAGTTTTGGTTTGAAACCTAGCCCTATCACCTAGTAGCTACATGAACTTAGGTAATTAACTTGCCGTGTTGCAAATTGTACAATGGAGTTGACAAAAATAGAATTTATCTCACTGGGTTGTTGTGAGATTTAAATGAGTTATTACATATGAAGTGTCTGGAAAATAGTAAGAGTTCAATAAATGTTAGCTCCGGTCATTATTATATGCTAGGTTAGGTGTTGTGAAGGCAAAGAGGGAAAGTAAAAGTTGTGGTTTCTGTGCTTGTCATTAGCTTCTCTTTACTGTATAATCCAATCCATTCTTTACTTTCCTCTGCTTTGCTCTGCAAAAGGGCCAGACTCCTAAAAGTCATATTTTCCAGGCTCTTTTGCCAATTGGCTTCCTGCTAGGTTTGGTCACAAAGAGGTTCATATAAGATAGTGAGGTTGGGAGGTCGAGTCTCTCTCTACATGGGTAATGTTAAAGAAAACTAGAAGCAGACAGTAAAGTAGTAAAAACAGACTTTGTTCAGGAACTACTGCAATGAGGAAGAGAGACCTCAGTATAACCTGACTCACTTCTGAATACAGCATGGACAAGTAGGGATTCATAGCCAAGGGGCAGGTTGGGAGTCAGTGGGTGGAAAATGACTGAGAAAACATTAGGAATAAAAGGATACAGATTAGACATCTGACAAGATGCTTGCTGAAGGCAGGCTAGAAGGATGAAGAACTTGGTCAGATAAAGGGAGATATTGGGATGAGGGATTCTTTCCAAACTGACTAACAAGATTCTTGCTACAAGAGGGCGATGCATTTATAGAAAGATAAATGTCAAGGTGGAGACCTAGAGGACTTAGACTAACTAAATGTTAGTCAAAAAGAGAATGTTGGTTAGTAGCACCACCAGCAGAAGTAGTCTCTTCATCACTTCCTGTCTCCAAACAGAGCCCTTCTCCATGCTCACAGATCCCACTTGGAAGCTTCAGTTTTCAGCCTTCCTACCCGCTTTCCGTGTAGGGAGTGAGGCCAATATAGGCTATAATAGAACAAGACGAAAGGACATATTCCTGATAATGGGTATTATTTAGTACCGGATTCAACTGTGCCTGAAGATTATATATACGACTAGATTTTTAAATATACAAGCCTATAAAAAGACTCCGTTTTGCTTAAGCTTCTTTTGCTTGCCACTGCACAAGTCCTAATACAATGTCTACTAACCCCTAAGAGTTTGAATTAATGTCACAATATAAAGCAATTTGAATTTTCATTGGATACTTGTCTCTGAAAGCCATGTTACTAGTATTTATTGTCCTGCTAGGATTAAGAGTATATGAAGATGAGCAAGATAAATATGGTGCTTCTCTTTGATAGCACAATAACTAATTATTTTCAACAATGTTAAATTTTACTATAGTTATTTCTAAAATGTTTTCTCTGAAGATCTGAGCATCTTCTCTTAGTTGATGTCTTAAAACTAAAGGACATCTCATCCACTTTAATACAAGGACATAAACTAAAATGCAAAGTGAAATATTCGGGAGGAAAGTTTATTTTTGATAAAGTAAATCCCAAGCCTCCAGTTCTTTAGGAAACCTTCCCAAGGCAGAATTTTTAGTGCCATGAAATTAACTGTCACTACTGCAGGACGATTGTTTCTTCTGCTATTTGCCTTCTTGGCTCTCCTGTTCTCCACTTGCTTATGATTACACAAATTTGTCTTCTGATAATGGATGAGCCTCCTCTCCCTTTCAATCACTACCATAGGCCCCTAAAACTTGCTCAATAAATGTCCAAAGTTCATTTGCTTTGGGAATTTTTAATCTTTCATGGTTGGTGACAGTAAATTTATAATCGTAATGCAAGTGTGTGTGCCTGTGTTGTGAATATGTGTGCGTGATTTGTCCCTAAAATACATGCAGTGGCCTTTTAGTGTTATAATATATGGTCAGACTGTAGTTGCTATGGAAACAATAACCAAATTTCCCGACTTTTGAGGGCAGGGAGATGCAGCAGTGGCAACTGTGATCAGAGTAGTGTTATTGATGATAAAATCTAAGACTTTAAGGGATTTTTCTACTTTAGTGTTCAGGTCAGAGCAATCTGCTCTTTCCCTGTATCTCTCAAGAATACCCATCAGAACCAGGCTGAAGGCATACTAATGTTTATTATTATTATTGTATTATTATTCTAGAGACAGGGTCTCACTGTTGCACAGGCTGGTAAGCCGTGATGTGCTCACAGCTCACTGCAGCCTCGACCTCATGGGCTCAAGTGATCCTCCCACTTCAGGCACATGCCACAACCACAGACACGTGCCACCATGCCCAACTAATTTTATGTTTATAGAGATGAGGTCTCACTGTGTTGCCCAGGCTTGTAGCAAACTGCTGGCCTCAAGTGATTTTCCTACCTCGGCCCTCCAAAGCATTGGGATTACTGGTGTGAGTCACAGTGCCCAGCCTTATTGTTTTATATTCAGTTTATTGTGGATACTGGGATGAGGGACATATTGTAATTCTTGGTTATGTTTGGTATATAATTTTTATGTAGTATAAAATCATACTTTTTGATAACGGAACATATTTAGATCCAGACTAGTATATACACAAGACAATGTTGCTTAAGTCAGCAAACTTATGCTTTCATTTGAAATGTGATACATTGAGATTTCCTTTTCATTCAACTAATTAGCACAAGCTGATTAGTCAAATGAAGCACATTTAATACATTCTCTGATCAGAAGGAAACATTTTCTAGGACCCCCATGTCTACTGAGCAGCTTTTTTGTAGCTTCCTATACAGCACTAGTAGTTTTGAATTGTTAAAGTTTGGAAAATGCACCAAATGAGAAGCTCATCTATCTGTGTTTATTCTATTCATACCACACGTCAGGGATATTGGGAGAGGAATCATTGTCTTGATAGCTTAATGAGAGTGCTCTGTGCCCAGCAGTGTTAAGCTACATGGATATAACGATGGATAAGAAATGATTCCTGCTCCCAAGAACCTGCTTGACCACACAAGGAGAGAATACAGGTAGTGACTGCTCATTGCATGGGGAAAGCACAGGACGAAGGCCAACAAATACAGCCAAATACCAGTTATTCCTTGGAGTCCAGTGAGATGGGCAGATGAAGCTGAAGGGGAGGGAAAAGTTGAGATGGGACCTGATGGAAGGGCAGGCCTGAGAAAGAAGGCAAGGCTATGTTTAGTGTCAGTAAACTTCACAGCTTATAAATAGACTGCATATATTCTGTTGAAAGTGTCAAGTATCATAATAAAATAGAGAGATGCAAGCAAATCGTATAAGACATAGAAGAGACATGATGAAGTGGTTCAGGGACATTGAGTACATTGGCTCCACTGAGGAGGCACAAGGATCTAAAATATTTTAGGGGAGTTGTCAGGGCTGTAAATGATTAGGAAATCCTGGCTTTTGTAGACACTAGATGACATTGAAGACAACATGGCTTCAACTTTAATGGTTTGAGGTCGAGGCAAAGGCCCTATAATCGTGGTGAACAGTAAATTATCACCAACTTCCTAATGATAACAAGTTAGTAAATGCAGATGGAATTTGGTTGCAAATAAAACCAGCTTGAGACAAACATGAAAGGCCCTGTGGAATTATAGCTGACATTTTGTGGTAGTGAGAACTTGTTGGCTCTTGTTTACCTCTTCCATAGCTCTTTCACTGGGTTTTTATCCCTGGGCTTTTTCCCTGAGTTATGTCGGGTCTAGCCTTTTCAAGTGAATATGAAAAAGAAGGTCTTTAAACCTATTTTGCTTATGAAATTGTATAACATGTGTAAATATGTCAGTTTTTTTTGTTTGCCAATGGAGAGCTTTGAGTTATAGACAGTTTTATTCATACTGAAAAACTGGCCCACCTTGATGTCATAGCGATAATGACATGGTCTTTTCAGCTTCTCAATACTCAGTAAAATTGTGAAGATGGATTTTAGCATTGTCAACTCTGACGCTTTGTTTGGTAACACTGTGGGTAATGTGTATCTCAAAGTCAATGTACACTGTGTCCAATGCAAGGCAATCACAAAGTGAGATGTACATTTGGCATAGGTAGAATATACACATTGTGTGTGTACATGTGTGTGTTTGCTTTCAAAATCAAGTTATATTCTAAAATTGAACAGTCTTATAATCTTTCTTTCTTTTTCAAAGGATCTTCTTAAAAAATGCTACTGTGCCAAGGCATCTTACCTCTTCCAGCAGGATAAATTCTATGATGTGAGCTATGACACAGGAGACAAGTCTATCCAATGTAGCAGAAGACCAGATGCATTCAAGTTCTGGATGACCTGGAAGGCCCTGGGTACATCAGGCCTTGAAGAGAGAGTTAATCGTGCTCTTGCTTTATCTAGGTACTAGCCTCTCTCTCTCTGTGTGTGTGTGTATATTCGTGACTGTCTATAAAGACCTAAGGAAAGTAATACTTCAAATGTGTTGCAAGTGCATATTTTCATTTGTGCATTCTTTATTTCATCCAATACACGTTTTCTCAATACCTACCTACGTGTTAGGAATTATGAACAGAGCAGTCCTACCACGTCTTTCCAAGATCCTAGCCTACTGAGAGATACAAATGGCCCTCCTTTCTAGCAAGGTGAGGTATAGAGTCCCCAATCCCAATCAGGAGGGCTCTCTAGTATGTTCTTGAGGAACACTAGCAGAGGCTCTTTGGAGGAAGTGACTTTCAACTGAGATCTAATGAAGAGAAGGCGATATCGTTTGGCTCTGTGTCCCCACCCAGATCTCATCTTGAATTGTATTCCCATAATTCCCAGGGGTTGTGGGAGGGACCTGGTGGGAAATTTGAATTGTGGGACCTGTTTTCCCCATACTGCACTGTGATAGTGAATAGGCCTCACAACATGGGATGGTTTTATCAGGGGTTTCTATTTTTGCATTCTTCATTTTCTCTTGCTGCCACCATGCAAGAAGTGTCTTTCGGCTTCCACCATGATTCTGAGGCCTCCCCAGCCATGTGGAACTGTAAGTCCAATTAAACTTTTTTCTTCCCAGTCTCGGGCACGTATTTATCAGCAGCATGAAAACTGACTAATACAGCAAATTAGTACCAGTAGAATGGGGTGCTACTGAAAAGATACCCAAAAATGTGGAAGTGACTTTGGAACTGGGTAACAGACAGAGGTTGGAACAGTTTGGAGGGCTCAGAAGACAGGAAAATTTGGAACTTCCTAGAGACTTGTTGAATGGCTTCGACAAAAATGCTAATAGTGATATGAACAATAAGGACCAGGCTGAGGTGGTCTCAGATGGAGATGAGGAACTTGTTGGGAACTGGAGTAAAATTGACTTTTGTTATGTTTTAGCAAAGAGACTGGCGGCATTTTGCCCCGTCCTAGAGATTTGTGGAACTTTGAACTTGAGAGAGATGATTTACAGTATCGGATGGAAGAAATTTTTAAGCAGCAAAGCATTCAAGAGGTGACTTGGGTGCTATTAAAAGCATTGTTTTAAAAAGGAAACAGCATAAAAGTTCAAAAAAATTTTCAGCCTGACGATGCAGTAGAAAAGAAACGCATTTTTTGAGGAGAAATTCAAGCTAGCTGCAGAAATTTACATAAGTAACTAGGAGCTGAACGATAGTCCTCAAGAAATGGGGAAAATGTCCCCAAGGCATGTCATAGTTCTTCATGGCAGCCCCTCCTATCACAGACCCAGAAGCCTAGGAGGAATAAATGGTTTCGTGGGCTGGGCCCAGGGTCCCCAAGCCGGGGGCAACCCAAAAAACTGGGGCCCCGCAACCCAACCGCCCCAACCAATGCCAAAAAGGGCCCAAAGAAAACCCAACCCCATAGTTTCAGAGGGTGCAAGTGCCAAACCTTAGCAGCTTCCATGTGGTGTTGACTTCTGTGTGCCCACAGGCTCAAGAATTGAGGTTTGGGAACCTCCATCTAGATTTCAGAAGAGGTATGGAAATGCCTGGATGCCCAGGCAAAAGTTTGCTGCAGGGGAGGGAGCCCTCATGGAGAACCTCTGCTAGGGCAGTTCAGAAGGGAAATGTGGGGTCCGAGCCTCCACACAGAGTCCCTACGGGGGCATTGCCCAGTGGAACTGTGAGACAAAGGCCACTGTCCTCCAGACCCCAGAATAGTAGATCCACTGACAGCTTACACCGTGCACCTGGAAAAGCCACAAACACTCAATGCCAGCATGTGAAAGCAGCCATGAGGGGTGCTATACCCTGCAAAACCACAGGGGTGGAGCTGCCAAAGACTATGGGAACCTACCTCTTGCATAAACATGACCTGGATATGACACATGGAGTCAAAGGAGATCATTTTGGAACTTTAGAATTTGACTGCCCCGCTGGAATTCAGACTTGCACGGGCCCTGTAACCACTTTGCTTTGGCCAATTTCTCCCATTTGGAATGGCTGTATTTACCTGATACCTGTATCCCCATTGTATCTGGGAAGTTACTAGCTTGCTTGACTTTACAGGTTCATAGGCAGAAGGGACTTGCCATGTCTCAGATGAAAGTTTGGACTGTGGACTTTTGGGTTAATGCTGGAATGAGTTAAGACTTTAGGGGACTGGTGGGAAGGCATGATTGCTTTTGAAATGTGAACACATGAGATTTGGAGGGGCCAGGGCCAGAATGACATGGTTTGGCTCTGTGTCCCCACCCAAATCTCATCTTGAATTCTACTCCCATAATTCCCAGGTGTTGTGGGAGGGACCCAGTGGGAGATAATTTGAATCATGGGGGCAGTTTCCCCACACTGCTGTCGTGGTAGTACATAGGTCTCACAAGCTCTTTATCAGGGGTTTCCGCTTTTACATCACTCTTTTCTCTTGCCACTGCCACGTAAGAAGTGCCTTTTGCCTCCCACCATGATTCTGAGGCCTCGCCAGCCATGTGGAACTGTAAGTTCAATTAAATCTTTTTCTTCCCAATCTCGGGTATGTCTGTCGGTAGCGTGAAAACGGACTAAAACAGAAAGGGAGAAGAATGACCTGGGTGGAAAGAGCAGCAGGCCCAAACCTCTGGATGTGAGGTGATACAAAAGTCTGGATGTGACATTAAGGACCTGAAAAGCAGATCTGTGAGTTTTGGTGGCAGCTTAAGTCTTAAAGGGAAAGGCAGTGTGGAAGCACCAAGTTTACTTGCCTTGTAGTAACATTAAGAAATAAAGCTGTTATCACACTTGCGAGAACATTAGAAAAGCTTGAGAGATAGGTGCCAGACATTACTACTTGAATAGGACTGAACTGCTAAACTTAGGATCAGTGGTGGACAGGCCATAGCCAAATTTAGTTTTACATGTGTTTTGTGGGGCTTATACTGCTTAGGGTTAACTTCCATGGTGTTAAACATTCAAACATTTAAATATTTAAAATGCTTTTTTTAAAAAATAGATCTCAAAAACCTGGATTTTTTGTTTTTCTCAAAGTTTAGAAACTTCTCAATCCCACATGGTAACAATTAGCTGAACATGATGACGCCCGAATCTGGAGAAACACAGTCCCTGTCACTTCTTACAGTTAAAAACAAACAACAACAACAACAACAAATAAATCTAGCCTAGTAGCATAGAGGTACAGACAACCTGGATTCAAGACCTAAATCCTATGTGACTGGGGCAAGTTTCTTAATCTCTCTGCACCTCAGTTTTATCCCAAGAAAATGATAATAGCACATGTCTCAAACAGTTACTGTAAAGGTTAAAGAAATGGATACATGTAGAACACTTAGATCAATGCCTGCGATGTCCTACATGCTATTTAAGTCTTAGTTATTATTTACTTAACTGCTTGGCCAGTATAGACATTAGGCTTTGAACTCTGGTTTGGATAGTCTTTCCTTCTTTACTCCCTGTTAACATTTCACTTGGAAAATCATGAAGGACCTTCTTAGAGATTTAGAGCAATTTCTTCTTTCTATAGTGGGTATGGATATTCTGAGCAACAAGCTGTCTGAAACCTAATGTCTTAAAACAACAATTGTTTTCCCCCTAGAGGTCTAAATGTTGGCTAGCATGACTTTATACCATACCATAGTGGCTGGGGTATTTGAGTCTACTCTCCACATGTCTTTCATATATTCCTTGATCAGCATACTAGCCAGCACATATTCTTGAGATGGCCATGACAGAAGGCCAAGAAGGCAAACCAATTATGTAAGCCCACTTTAAACTCCTGATTGCATTATACTCCCTTGGTCAAAGAAAATCATATGACTAAGCCCAATGTGAAGAGGTGGGAAGTACCCTCTGGCAGCTTTTAGCAGGAAGAATTGTGAAGTTACATGGCAAAGGGCTTGGATGTAAAGACAGGTAAAGAGATGGCTTTGGCATTTTCAGAAGACGTTTAGAAGTCAGTAATTCTGGTGATTATGGGTATGAAGTAGTTTGAAAAACCTGTGAAAGTTATATGAGGACTCTTGGTAGTAAACAATGGAAACATTAACTCAAGGTATTATAAACAATGGTAATTTAAGGCTCTTAAGACTAGTGTAGTGATGACTTTTGGAAGGCTTGGTCTAAGTGCTTAAACAATATCAGCAGTCTTCAGTCTCTCTGCATCTTTCAGTTCTGCTTTCCTTCAGGTTGAGTTTATTCCTATGGGGGAAGGTGGCTGCAAAGAGTGTCAGATCTCTGTTCTTCCGGGTTCAAGATCAAAAGATGAAGTACTCCTCTCTCAACAATCTGAGGAAAGTTTAGTTATTTGAGAGTGAGGTAAATATCCATCTCTGAATCAGTCATGGTTTCCAGGGCAATGTGATGCTCTCAGTAGTAATGATGACTCACCTGCTCTCTCCTGGCACTGGGGAGAGTGTCAATTCCTTTTATAGAATGTGTACTGAGCCTAGATGACGAAGGTACCTTTGTCAGAGATAGGGTTAAAGTGCTTCTATTAGAAGTGGGGAGATAACCCAGTGGTGAGAAAACAAGACGGTCTACGGTCTACCATAAATTATTTATAGCTGCTCACTAAATTAGAAGTCCAGGAAGCTCTGTTCCCTTTTTGTGGATTTTCTTGCACTATTTAAATGGGGTAGAATCTCTGCATTATTTTGTCTAAGCTTTGAAATAATTCAATGGGAGGTGTTTTGAAATAAGGTTAGATATAAATATTTTACGATTGTATTTATTATAAAGTTAACATTCATCTCAGGGTGGAATTTAGTTTACGGTCTAAGAATACTTTCTAATTTTTGCAGAGAAATATCACAGGAGGATAAATGTTAACATTTCAATTCAACAAACACTTATTGTTTGTAAATGTTTGTCAAGTTGAATTGAATTAACATTTTAGTGAGCATTGCTGCAGACTCTGTGACGTATATTTAAATATTTGAAAAATAATCCCTCCTCTTTCCTGCTGTTACTTAT